CCTCTACAATCTCCCGTGAATGCATCGATTAGAGTTGATCCCCCAGAAAAACCTTCATTACAAGCTAGAAATCGAACCTAATAGATCCAGCATAAAATAATACAGGTGATTTCTTGTAAAATGAAAAATTCGCCTCTTGATAATCTCAATTATTATTAATTTGATTAATTAGTCTCTTTAATATTATATTGGTAATTATATTTCATTATAACTAATTAATTAACCATTTGATGTAATTAATTACTCAATAAGTTAGTCATGTGACTCTTTTTTATTAATTGTTAGATTGGGTCTTACTGAAACTTGAGTTAAACTAATACTGCTAAATTAAATTGAAATATATTAATTTAATCAATTAAATCAATGTCAAATTTAGAATTTGTTATATTCAATAGTTTGAATATTATATTCTTCTCCTTTTTATATTCAAAATATAAATTCTACCCATAATATTATTATTCTTGATTTTATTATCTTGACATCAAAATTAATATAAACTCGTGTAACAAACCAAAATATATTAATTACCATAGTTAAGGGAGAGTAATTTAATCCAACTAAACACAAGAATATAAAATATTATACCATAAGTAATGACATGCCTAAATGTGAAAGCCTCTTCATCAAAAGTATCCTAGAATAAATATAGTTAATTTAAATTAAGAACATTAAAATTAAAATAATGTATACGGATGAGTCTAAAGGAGTGAGGGGTTGGGACTTTAAGAATACTTAATTTCAAAATATTAGTTAATTAATTAATTAGATTATAATATCTTTACCTAACTCATTTTATTTAAAGAAGAAATACACTATAAATATATAATTTAAAGAAGTATACATAGTGTTTGTTATGTAATTGAGTGGGGGAGAGAGCATGATACTTTGATTTCCACTAATCTAATTTTTGTTTGACCAAATCTCACTAATTAGCCAAAGGAGATCTCAAACGGGCTTATATATCTCACACACACACATATATATATATATATATGTATGCATGTATGTATATAATTAATTCTGGTCTGCTTCCTCTTTCTATATACCAAGAAAATTAACATATAAAAATCTCTTTATTCAAAATTATAAATCAAACGTATACACGAAAAGGAAATGATATTTTACCAAACTCAACAACACCCACGAAAAGGAAATGATGACAAGACTTTAATTCGATTCGTGAAGTCTTCTGAAGATATTAGTAGAAAAAATATATAAGTAGAATATATATATATATATATATAACTCTAGTTCACTTAATTGATTTAATTTAATTACAAACTAATTGACTTTAAAATATATTTTAAACTCGTTTACTATCATAACCATATGGGAATCGTTGAATTTTCTTTTTTTATTTTTTTTTAATTTTCTCTCATGATAAATTAATTTTAAGAGAGCGATTTCATACATACTATTGCTATTACATCTCCTAATACAAATTTATAACATTATTGTTGTAAGATATAAAAATAAAAAGAATATTAATAATTGAAAAAATAAAATATTAGAATTTTAAGTTTTATAAATATTAGTATCCAGTCAACTTATGTTCTTTCTTTAGATGGTTCAAATTTTTATCAGACTATGTGCTCCTTAATTGTTTCTATTCCTATAAAGTACGGTCCTCAATGTTGGTTTTGTCAGAGTTTGATATGAGTTAGACTGTTGGAAAGAGTATGATGTAGCTTTGGTGTAAATATGAGATTTTTTTGATGTTTCAGATTATGTTATTGTATGGACTCAATGACCAGTACATTATGAGATGGTTCTTAAGGTGTTCACTGATGGATATATTCATGTAGTTGCAACAAAGCGGATTTGGTAGATTAAGACTATAGTTTCTTATGTTGTCTCAACATCTATTATTTATTATATTTTATGCATTACTTATATATCTTTGTCTAGCTCTTAAAATTTTGAGAAGTATAAGACTCTTTCATGGTGTTATCCACCTACAAGAAGTTGGAAGTTCAATATAATAATAGATTTTCCATTGGAAGCTTATACAAATGAGGATTGATGCTCTTTTTGAGGCATTACTTTGATAATATAAGATATTTCTTTTTTAAAGAATATTAGAATTGTTCATTTGCATCTTGCATGTTGATGGCCCTTAAAGAAGCTTTAACTCTACTCTCTTACCCTCATCGCTAAACAATTTTTACTTTTAGTTGGTAATTATTTCTTGGGTTAAGAAGAATATGGCAATTATGTTTTAAGAGAGATGTGTGAACTCTTGTTAACTTTATTTCACATGTATCTATTACTATATTTTTAAAACTAATAAAGTTAATTCAATTCAGATATACTGTAAAATGTATTTATCTCAGGAGATATATGAATGATTTATTCCAGTTTTAGTATGTTATTGAAGTAAATATCTCTAAATCCTGAGTTTATGGCTTTAGTTTGTTGAGAAGATATCAAAGGCAATGGAATTTTCCTTTTATTCATTTTTTGAGCCTTACATTCTCTTAGATACAAATCTCTTGTTGACAAGAGATGTACCCCTTCCTGCCTTTATGGCTTGGCCTCAATCTCTTTGATAGGCTATGATGGCTTTTGCTCTGGAATAGCTAGTTTCAGCTTCATTTTGTCTATTTATAATTGTGTAGTTATAATGTCTTCTTCTTGTAAGAATCAGTTTTATTCTGGCAAAGTGAATATGCTCTTTGATTTCTTTTCTTATCTAAGACATTGTCTTGTTTTACTACTTATAATTTTTAGGTAAGGTTGTAAAGAATCTTTAATTAATTTTATCTATTTAGTTTAGTTGTTTTATTGTTCGACAGTCACATACTGAAATTTAAGGTAAATCTGTTGTGGATTTTAGTCAATGTAGTTTTTTTATATAACATATATATATAGTTTTAAAGATGTCTACTATTTATAAGAGTAACTAAATATGAAGAGGTAATACCGTTTCAATTAAAAGAAAATTGGGATATTAACTAACATTATCAAAAAAAAAAAAAAAAAAAATCAAATTAGTCAAACTGGCAAACGAAACTAGCCTAAATTTGACCTTAATTAACTTTGGTATTAGTATTAATGCACTCATATCATATGTCTATAAAATCCCAATTAACCTCACACAAAACCCACTTGTACTTACATCTTCTCCTTTCCAAACCAAGTCAAAAGCCTCCATAGTTCTGTAACCATGGAGCACTTGTACCTCACCCTCCTCCTCGCCTTCGTCTCTTTCGTCTCCCTCTCCCTCTTCATCATCTTCTACAAGCACAGATCTCCTTACGCCTACCCCAACTTACCTCCCGGAAAAATTGGCCTCCCCTTCGTCGGCGAGTCTCTCGAGTTTCTCTCCACTGGCTGGAAAGGCCACCCTGAGAAATTCATTTTCGATCGCATCGCCAGATACTCCTCCGTCATTTTCAAAACCAATCTTCTCGGAGAACCCGCCGCCGTCTTCTGCGGTGCAGCCTGCAACAAGTTCTTGTTCTCTAACGAGAACAAACTGGTGACCGCATGGTGGCCAAACTCAGTCAACAAGATCTTCCCCACGTCTCTTCAAACATCATCAATAGAAGAATCAAAGAAGATGAGAAAACTCCTTCCTCAGTTTCTGAAACCGGAAGCTTTGCAGAGATATATCGGGATCATGGATGGAATCGCCCAGCGGCATTTTGAGTCCGGGTGGGAGAATAAAGAAGAAGTTAAAGTTTTCCCTTTGGCGAAAAGCTATACTTTCTGGATTGCTTGTCGTTTGTTCATGAGCATTGAAGATCCTAACCATGTTGAGAGATTTGCAGAGCCGTTTCATCATTTAGCTTCTGGGGTGATTTCTATTCCCATTGATTTGCCGGGAACGGCGTTTAATCGAGGGATTAAGGCGTCGAATTTCATTAGGAAGGAGCTGTTGAAGATTATCAAGCAGAGAAAGATTGATCTTGGAAACGGTAGCGCATCACCGACTCAGGATATATTGTCTCACATGCTGTTGACGAGCGATGAGAGTGGACAGTTCATGAGCGAGCTGGACATTGCTGATAAGATTCTTGGGTTGCTGATCGGAGGACATGACACGGCCAGTGCTGCTTGTACTTTTATTGTCAAGTATCTTGCTGAGCTTCCCCATATTTATCAGAAAGTTTATGAAGGTATAATAAAACTTAAACATGTTCTTCCTTCTTCTTCTTCTTCTTGTTATTATTATTATTATTATTGTCTACCCTTTGCGGATGATTATGATTAACTTTGATTATTTCTTTTTTAAACATAATTTAAACACTCATAACAATATAATTAGTACTTTAATCAAAAATAAATAAACTTAATTTCTTGATAAAAACATATACAAAATACATAATTCGATTTGAACTCAACTCATAGGTAAATAAAAGTATAAACCATAAACTAACAGATTATTTCAAATACATATTAACAAATTTGAAATATATATTTGATTTTCTTTTGTTTACATATCTATTCAATAAAAAATTAAACTTTCAACTATTTAGTTACATCTTGTTTAGATAGTTAGTATTTGTACTTCTTTTTAGGAGAAAATGAGTTAGAAATAAATTGCATATTTTACATGTGACTTCCTTAAAAGTTTACTTATATTGTTATTAGTGTGGAATTATTGGAGTGTATTAATTCAACTATGGAGTTACGTAAAGTAATAATTATTAGTACAATCATGCACGACTAAGTAGGTTGGAAACATCATATACAGTATATATATATCCTAGTCTTAGCAATTCGCCAGCTTTATGGATATTCCACGTTGTCTTATATATTCCATTTGTCAATATTAAGCCGGCAGCAAGAAAGAACGTGATTACTTCAACCCCACTATTTTAAGATTATATATTTATTATTATGATAGATAATATATAATAATATAAAATCATCAGTATAGATAGTTGACTCTTTATAAATATTTTACGATATAATTGGGTTACCTGTACATATATATATATATATACACACACACAGAGCAAATGGAAATAGCAAAATCTAAAGCAGCTGGAGAGATGTTGAACTGGGATGACATACAGAAGATGAAATATTCATGGAACGTTGCATGTGAAGTTCTGAGACTTGCTCCACCTCTCCAAGGCGCATTTAGACAAGCCCTATATGACTTCATCTTCGACGGCTTCTCCATTCCCAAGGGTTGGAAGGTAACTTCCTCCTTCATTTTCTCTTCTTTCTAATAAGAAAATAAGTATCAATATGACCCAATATCTAAATTACTGATTTGGCAGACATGAAATAATAAAATCTATTACTTATACATTAATACAACTACAAGAAGCTATGTGATTAATAAGAAAATGGGTGTAAAATTTTATATTAAAAAAAAAAAAAAAATGTGACCCAGTATTCTAAATTAGTGAGTTGGTATAGAAAATTATAAAATATATAATTTATACATTAATACACATATCATGAGCAAATACGCTAGGTCTAGATTAAATTAAATAAGAAATTATAATTGAATATGAAAAGTTTAAGTTGGCAGAAAATGAACTAACTCTATTACTTTGAATTAGTAATAAAAAATGAGTATGAAATTAACATCTATTATTTATATATTAATACACCTATCACGAGCAAGGTCACTCCGTCTAGATTAAATTAACTAATAAATTATAATTGAATATTAAAAGTTTAAGCTGATTGAAAAAATGAATTAGTAAGAGCAAATTATGTAATTAAATTAATGCTGGTGCAGTTATACTGGAGTGCAAACTCTACACACAAAGATCCAGAGTGCTTTCCAGAGCCAGAAAAATTCGACCCAACAAGATTTGAAGGCAATGGTCCTGCACCCTACACCTTTGTTCCATTCGGAGGAGGTCCAAGAATGTGTCCTGGAAAAGAGTATGCAAGGCTCGAGATTTTGGTTTTCATGCATAATGTCATCAAGAGATTTAAGTGGGAGAAAGTGTTGCCCGACGAGAAAATTATCGTCGATCCAATGCCAGTCCCTGCGAAGGGCCTTCCTGTTCGCCTTTACCCTCATGCTCACGCTCTCTGAATCCATCCACCTATCCTCCCATAAAAATTATGTATCTACCTATATATATATATATAATACTCAAAGAAGAGCTTTTGTTTTTTTAAAAAGAAAACAAAATTGTTTCATTTGTAGTTGATGAGCAGTTCCACTGTATCTTGCACGATGTTCAAGTTGTTTACCAAATGTCACTTTCAGCTTTTGTATCGGATCATGTTACAAGTTAAAACATTCATTGTAAAACGATCTTAAATGTGTACTATAGAAGTACATACGTATGTATATCATATGTGCTGCAAGCATATATATATAATATGTACATGTAATATATAGAGAAATTTAAAAAAGATTACGTATGGAGTTTGAATAGCTTTTTTGCCATATCAAGTTTTAATAATATAAATACTTTAATATTGTTTTGAAAACTTGGAATCGCATAAAATTGATAATAAATTCTGATACGTGGGAAATTGATCTGCAACACTTTCAACGAGTAATCGTGAGAAGAAGAAGCAGAATCCACCATGGAAATGAGCCCGCAAGCTCATTGTTTCGAAGCACGAGATCAGGCTTAAGTAAGAGGTGACTCGTCAAGCTTAGCCCACGAGGAACTGACATGTTGCATGCATGTGTTAAAAATTCAAAGTAATAATTATTACATATTGTTATTTTTATATTTAAAATTTAGAAAAAGGAATTGACATGTTGATACTTTATAGTTTTACTTATAAATGCGCATATAAATATATATATATATATTGTTAAAAAATAAAAATAAAAAAAAAAAAAAGTGATAAAAGCAACAAAATTTTGAGATGAGGCGACAAGAAATATATACAAATAATAAAGACAGGCGACAAGGAAGTCTTATCTGTGGAAACAAATGGTAGGTGAGACAAACATTCTAATTTAAATTTTTCCGCATGACAAAAGTAAAACTGAGTCTTTACCAAGACATGGGTTAGCATTACTTTTCCAATTTGAAAATAGATTCATTATTCATGTGCTACTTACACAATACAAAAAACAATGGTAATACATTGGCTACTCAGCAATCAAATAAAGGAGGGGATAAAAAGCCCCAGAAGTATCAAACACCTCTCTCTCAAATGTTGCTGGAAAAACTAATCTCCTACAAGTTACAACTGCATCCCACATGACTGAAATATTACCCCAAAAATTGAATTTTTTTTTAAAAAAAATTTGGGAACATTACAACTCTCTAAGATACAAACAATATAAATTTTCATTCGCAGGCTGATTCCTTTAATCTCCTACTTATGGATGATGAATGTAAATTATATATTCCTGGAAAACAAACCATATAACCCTTTGAAGAAGGATCCACCAGAAGCAAAAGCCAAAATATGTCAATCTCCTTGACTACATCCATCTCAAGATTGACTCACATACAAGACAGGAACTAGACCAGCCATTTTACCATCTCTTCCTGGGCGCTTCTTCTTCACCTGTAACCAAGTAAAATGCTAATCAATTATCCATATACATATGAATCCCATTGAAAAATGATAACCTCACCACACAACCTCGATACCCACTATTCATTAAGAACGTAGCAGAATAAGAAGCCGAGGGGTAAAGAAAAACTAAGGCTCCGTTCTATCTACATATACTTATAGGCATAATATATGTGTACATACGCTCTTAGATGACTTGATATATGTGCATAAATTGATAATACACATGTTTCTGGGTATAAAACAGAATAGTATATGGATATCTATGTGTGTGTTTGTATCTTAGTATATGTACACATGGTGCTAAGATAAATAAATAAAAAAAAATGTTCTCAGATAACACTCAATTTTTTATGTATATCTCTTTAATATAGAAAATAAAGACTGAAAAGTATTTTTATATACCAAATAACTTTTGATATATCACTATGCCCTATAATCAACAAGACATTTCACAATCAGTTCAAGATAAGGTAATGGTTTCCTCTCCTTTTCTCTAATACTTACATAAAACCATCCATCCACTTCGTACGCAATTTCAACCTCTTCTCCAGATGTTAAATTTAACTGCACGGTACGAAAACCACAAGATTAGTCATTTCTATCTGCAAACTTGGAAGTAATCAACAAATTTGACACTTTGTGGAGAAACCAGAAAGTAAGAGAAATCTTTGAGAATGCTGACTTATATGCATCACAGAGGGAATGTTGGATCCTTGAGAAGTCAAACCTTAATCTACGAAGCAGAATCTTAACTTCAAGGACCAAGACAATAGGTAAGAAGAAACTTACCTCATCATCTCCTCCTGCAGTGAAATCATACAGTGCTGTTCCAAATTGTGGATTCCCAGAAGAAACTCGTTCATCATCATGGGATTCAAAACTCTGGGACCCATGCCCTGATAGGGGATTATCAAATGACTCGTACGTTTGCCTGATAGGAGATGTGTACGGCAGAGGTTCTTCTCTAATCTAGAAAAGATAAAAAGTGAATGTTCAGAAATCGAACCAAGATATTAATGGTCAGCAGGACACGGAAATATGTTAGAAGAAGCAAGGCCTTACCGGAGAACCAATACCCCCATAAATGGAACTAGAGGAATGTCTGGTTCCACCTGATTTTTCCTGTTACAGATAACAACCATGCGAAAATAAAATGTGAAGACAGTTTTGATGACAAAAAATTTTCCACAATAAGTGATGTATGCAAAAATTTTACCGAGGTTTGTGAAGAGCCATAAGTGGTTGGGCGTGAACTAAATAATGATGGGTAGTTCATACCACCAAAGTGGGATGATATAGATGTTTCAACTGATCCCGTAGAATCAGGAGAAGAAGACCCTGATGATCTCACATCATCTTCCTGCAAATTAAAATGGATAATTGAAGAATGAATTAGACTCATTAAAGATTCCACAGAAAATGTACATCCGGCTATAGCCTGCTTAACTACATGTTGTAGTTTGAAAGGACTATGCTAGAATTTATACCCCCAACTCTGAGCTCTCTAGAAGTGTCTTTGCCCACATATCATCATAGCTAACTGAAGGCCTCGAGATTATGTTCTCCTCATCCACATCAGGAGCATCAGTCCCCGCACCAGCTAAGAATTCATTAACCTACAATGAAGCAGAGATGAAAAATGAAAAGGCACTTACCACAAACATTGACAAATAGCACAAAACCCAGACACCTGCAGCGTCATGCATTCATATTTTGAATAACTACTCCGAAGTCCATATTTGATATTTTTTTCTTAAAACAAAATTAAAGGGTATCTTTCTCTTTCTTCTTAAGAAGAAACTAAGTGTATCTTCATCCTATGCATTTGTAGGTTCTTACGAGTAAATAGCATACCAACCAGTACCTCGGTTTTGACTTTGGAACGGTCTGTACCAATAATTATAAGTTTCAATATACTGTTTTAGACTTATTGCCAAATTATGCTTTATATATAAAATACACGTAAGCAACTTATATGACTATAATAATTTATAATGGTATTATCTTAAAGAAGCCACTCCTTTAACATAAAAACTTATGATATTAAAAGGCATTGTTCCTTAAAAACATTAAAGAATATGGAGCATGCCTATATATTTAATATACAAATATATTAAGGATGTCAAGCTCATAAATTAAAAAAACACAAGAATAGCATACTAAACAAATAGGAAAGTACTTAACTCAATATTTTCATCAAGTTGTGGTCCTATATAATATAATAATGTTTTCAGATTTACTTCTCAATTTTTAAAAGATGATGTTTTAGTTTCAATTTTTATTTTTTAAAAAAACAATAATATCTTTAGTTTCAAATTTTTGTTTTAAATAACAGATTTTCTACTTTATTTTTAAAAATTTATTTATAAATTCATCCTTAGTTCAAGTGAAAGATATATAATCCTTCTTAAAATGATTATAAAAAAAACTACTATATGGAAATCCTACATGGAATAGGAGTATATCTTTATAATTCTACATGAAATTTCATATAAAGTTAATTATCTTATCATCATAATATGATTTATATTTTCTCATTGTTAGAATATTACAAAATATATTACACAATATTATTATGTAATTATTAGTTGATTTCTTAACATTAATAGGATGATTTATATTTCCATATATAGATCTCTCTTCTATATATATATACCCCTAAACTTACGGAATAAAATACAAGAAATATGTAGTATTCTTCTTCCCTAACCTTTTACATGGTATCACAGGTAGGTTAAGATTTAAGAGATTAGAATACATCAAATCAAAGAAGTGCTAAACAACCCATTCCCGGTGCTGAAGGAAGTCAACCACCAATCTCCACCCAATTCAGAGTGCGGACAGAACGGTGATGTACACAGACAAAGAGGAGGAGGCCATTTGCGCAGCTGTTTGGAGTCACGGAGTCAAGTTTTCCGACTGTTTGCGCCGCGATTGGAAGCTGCAGCGTCATGTCTGTCCCGTGCAAAGTCAGAAGGTGAAGAGAAGCTCAGCCGGCCGGTTTTGAGTAGGAAACCAAAAAGCCGGAGCAGAGGAAACTCGAGGCTGAGCGGATTGCGCGACAGCAAGCCTTTTCTGGTTCTCCAGCGCGATTTGGGGCGATTTTGGGAGCTACATTTCGGATTCATATGTGTATTCTGGGT